TTAATATATATTTAATGATTAAAAAATAAATTTTATATGTAAATATTATAAAATTATTAAATTTGATACTAATAATAAAAAATTAATGTAATATATTTATTATCATATAAATGAGACATCAGCAAGAAGAGGCATGTTGTTGAAAATAGTTGGTAAATATTTTCCCTGAATATCAGTAAGAAGAATTATCTTGCTAAATAATGGATATCAGCAACATAGCTATTGTTGCTGAAAATTGAAAATCAGCAACAAGAGATATGTTGCTGAAAAGTTGGGGTCTCCCCCCTCCCTTTTTTTAGCAACACAAGCCACGTTGCTGAAAATATGGTTTCAGCAACGTGGCTTTGCTTGCTGAAAATATGGTTTCAGCAACGTGGCTTTGCTTGCTGAAAATGAAGAAACCCGAAACCAGCCCTTTTTTACCAACGTGGAGTATGTTGGTGAAAGTACATAATCAGCAACAAGGATTATGTTGCTAAAAAAGTGGAAAACCACTATCCCCCTCTACTTTTACCAACATAAGACACGTTGGTGAAGATAGGGTTTTAGCAACGTGGCTTTTGTTGCTGAAAATGTCACAAAATTCTGATGCCGGAAACAGGATAGATTTTTTGGAATTTTTACCAACATGAGCCACGTTGCTGAAACTCTATCTCCAGCAACGTGGCCTATGTTGCTAAAGGGGGTGAGACATTTCACCCCCAACTTTCACTGGATTCCGGCCACCTCTTTTAGCAACATGAGCTAGGTTGCTAATACTATATTTTCAGCAACATAGATCATGTTGCTGATGTATCAGCAACAAGAGTTTGGTTGGTAATGTATTACCCACCAAGCCTTCTCCAACAAGGCTTTTAGCAAGCAAATCCATATTGCTGAAGGGCTTTCAGCAACATGGGAACCACTTTCAGCAACATGTTTCCATGTTGCTGAAGCTAAGCATTTTAATAGTGATTGTTCATATGTATATAGCAAACTTATCCATTAATTCTTTTTAGTTTTTTTTTTAACTTTTGAGATTAAATTATAATATTTTTAATTTTTAAAAACTAATTTTATAAATTTTTTATTCTTACTTTAATAAAACATTAATAATTTATGTTGTTCTAAGGACTAAAATCTTTAAAATTTTAAAATTAACAGCTAAAATTTCAAAATATAAAATAAGTGACTAAAAACTTCAAATTGAGTAAAAAAAGAAGCTGAGGCATACTTTAGTGGTTGCTTCATTATCATTTCGGAGGCTTGTCTAAAATTGCTTTCCATGTTTTTTTTTTAGGAAATTGCTTGTATTATTAATTCTGCTGACTGTTTATTGTTTTGAATTGTATGCAGAATTTGAGAAAGACGTAACTTTGTGGAATTGATCATATGAGTTCTAGCATCCTTGTGCTCACAAGTCACAACACAAGAACAATAATGTTTCGATTTAGAAATCAAAAAATAAAAAATAAAAAACTGTCTTTCTGTCTTGAAAAAAAAAAAGAAAGAGTTGTGCATAGTTTAAATTAGATCAAATTTTATAATTAAAATTATTAAATAGAGTTGACTCTATAATATTAAAATCATACTCTTTATTTAAGAAATTTTATTTTACAATTTATTATAATTTTAACTATAAAACAATATATTCTCACAAAAAAAATTATTTCAACAAAATATTCTTACTTCTTAAAAAAAAAAAAAACCCCCTTGAGGCTTTCGGGGCCGGCATATTACGTATCACCCTACACGTGTCAGCATCTGAGTGTAATTGCATAGAAATTTGAATACCATCCCCGGTAACCGCTCCGCTGAGGCAGGGCAGCAGAGGATAGAATTCATATTAGCCCCTCTTTTATTTTGTCGTCTCCAGTCCCTACCTGATAACACCTCCTTCATTTCCGTTCTCCAAAACCCCAATTCTCCTGAAAATACAATGGCAATCTTATCATCTGCCACGGCTGTCTCACCTAAACTCCGATACCCTTATTCCTCCCCTCTTTCCATCCGGACAACCTCAACCACGACTGCTAATTTTGGCACAAGACTCACCAACCTAATTCCCTCCCACCTCTCCTCCTCCTTTCTTCCTCCTTTCCTCACAACTACTTCCACCACCACCCTCTTCCTTCACCGTCCGGGACCGGGAGGCACTTTTACTGTCCGCGCTGCACGCGGCAAGTTCGAGCGGAAGAAACCCCATGTCAACATCGGGACTATCGGTCATGTGGATCATGGCAAAACCACTCTCACAGCCGCTCTCACCATGGCGCTTGCCTCCATGGGCAACAGCGCCCCTAAAAAGTACGACGAGATTGACGCCGCCCCTGAGGAACGCGCCCGTGGTATCACAATTAACACTGCCACTGTGGAGTACGAGACTGATAGCCGCCATTATGCCCACGTGGACTGCCCTGGTCACGCCGACTACGTCAAGAACATGATTACTGGTGCCGCTCAGATGGACGGGGCTATTCTTGTAGTCTCAGGTGCCGATGGCCCAATGCCGCAGACAAAGGAGCATATCTTGCTGGCGAAGCAGGTGGGGGTTCCTAATATGGTTGTTTTCTTGAACAAGCAGGATCAGGTGGATGACGAGGAGCTCTTGCAGCTAGTGGAATTGGAGGTGCGTGAGTTGCTTTCTAGCTATGAGTTCCAAGGTGATGATGTTCCTATTATTTCTGGCTCTGCGCTTTTAGCTTTAGAGGCTTTGATGGCTAATCCTAACATTAAGAGGGGTGAGAATCAGTGGGTGGATAAGATTTATGAACTTATGGATTCTGTTGATAGTTATATACCAATTCCTCAAAGACAAACGGATTTACCCTTCTTATTAGCAATTGAAGATGTGTTTTCCATCACTGGTCGTGGAACTGTGGCCACAGGTCGTGTGGAGAGGGGTACTATTAAGGTGGGAGAAACTGTGGATATTGTTGGTTTGAAGGACACAAGGAACACCACTGTAACTGGGGTAGAAATGTTTCAAAAGACCCTTGATGAAGCTATGGCTGGGGATAATGTGGGGTTGTTGCTTAGGGGTGTTCAGAAGGAAGATATTCAGAGAGGTATGGTTTTGGCTAAGCCAGGAACCATTACCCCACACACAAAGTTTGTTGCTATAGTTTATGTGTTGAAGAAGGAAGAAGGTGGAAGGCACTCACCATTCTTTTCTGGTTATAGGCCGCAATTTTACATGAGGACTACTGATGTGACTGGGAAAGTGGCTTCAATTATGAATGATAAGGACGAGGAGTCTAAGATGGTTATGCCAGGTGACCGTGTGAAGATGGTTGTTGAACTCATTGTGCCTGTGGCTTGTGAGCAAGGGATGAGATTTGCTATCAGAGAGGGTGGGAAGACAGTTGGAGCAGGTGTTATTCAGTCCATCATTGAGTGATGTCTGGAAACTTGGGCTGGACCGCAAATGTCAATTTCTATTTGAGAGATTTCTCAACCTTTGATGTCAAGGTTATGCATTTAGTTTCACCATTTCAGGACCTTTGAGATTTGTATGTTATACAGTTTGCAGTTTTGTGCCGCTTTGGACTCATGTCTAATTTAGCTGGATAATATTCATCCAATGATTCAATGCCATCTTCACTTTCTGTTGCTTGTGCTATTGTTGAGTAAAATTTTCGAGCTCCAGCTTGTTCGAGAAAATGTTTTGTTCTTTAGGTAGTTCTTATACTTGTATATGTAAGGCAGTTGTTTATTTCTCTAGCTTGTTTTTCTCTATAGCGTGCGTGAGGTTGTAATACTACAATGTCAAGCGGCTCTAAACTTCTTTTGTTCAGCTTACATGGTTGCTCATCGCAGCATGCTGTCATAATTCATTATGCATATAGAGGACTGCAATTGTGCTCCATGCACTTACTCTTGTTAGCGTCTTGCATGGACTCTTTGTACCTCAAAAGCTGGCATGTGTATGATGGAATTACTTTTTTGTTTTTGTAGAGCTTCATTTTCTACCTTCTACAAGTTTCAACTTTCAAGGATTAAAGATGGCTAATCTTTGAACTCTTATCAACCATAGAGTACAAGCCGTTTGGTTGCTTCACTTATCAGCAATCAGTGGTAGATAGCAGGCTTTGCAAGTGGAAGAGTACTAATTATACTCATTTTTAGGCGCTCTATGACTGGCTACGTGGGCGTGACAAATAACGTATATTGGTGATTAGTGATGGTAATTTAAAGTTAATATATATTTAAAACCAGGCACATGAATAATGTGTAACAAGTCCAATCATAGCGTTCAAAAGAATATGCGACAGTATCATAAGCACTCGTTTTGTAGGATTTGCAGCCAAATGTTGTGTAGAGAGAGCCCACTGGCAGAATTTACTAATTATAAGATGCTGTGTTTTCATTTTTTTTTTTGTCATCATCCATCCAGCATGTGGTTTGATGTAGACGGTTGATATTCCTGTTTATGTTCCACAAAAGAAAGTGAAAACAATGTACCAAAAAAAGAAAGAAAGTGAAAACAAGAAGCAAGACTAAGCTTTTAGTTCTTTCTTCGAACTTCATAAGCCATGACCTTATACTAAGTCGTATATAAATAGACATAATGTAAAAAGATTGCCTCTCAGTTGATCTCATAATGAATTCATGGATTAATGGGACACTTCCCAGAATCAATTAATCAAACACCACCACTAAAACCCCACTTTCCATTTTGTCTGCTCTATAGAGCCTGGTAAAAATCTCATAAGATGGTAGACACAATCAGCTCTTGGACGAATGCCGCTCTCTGCCTTCTCTCCTCTAGATTCTGTTCGTGATCTTTATCCAGGAAAGATGGCTCAATGCTGCACATAAAATATGAAATCAGTTGTATTCAATTGCTATCATGTATCAATATTTACATCTGAACCAGTAAATCCAGAAAAACAATTTATAAGATTGGAGGCGTAACTTCATTCAATTATTTAAAGCCATCAACAAGTGGCAGATGCATCTCCCAATTTTTTCACGACCTGCATCCAAAGTCATGTTTCCTTCAAATCCTTCCACCCAAACAACTCCTCTCCAAACTTCCCAAAGGGTAGGTATCCCTTCACTTCACTGGGCATCCCTTGGTTATAAACTCTTAAACAAAGACAACTAAGTTCCAAATTTTCCTTTGGTTGTTTTAGCCAATGGCACATGCATGGTATGAGAACGAGAGACTAACATGTTAGAGGTCTTTGGTTCAAACCTTAGGATGGGCTTGGGGATTAGGGGAAGGGAGGAGGCTAATCTCAATTATATAGTCCACATTCAAGATGGACAGTAAATAGAAGAAAGTTTCCCCAGTGTCATAGGTGTTATTTTCCTTCTCTTGGTTTTTCAGGTCAGCAAAAACTAAAGGGAGGCATAAGAGCCTACAAAAGTTATTTATACCAGTCCAGATCTAAACTCCTTTTTGTAACTGCACCAAACTAGATGTCCTTCTTCAGTTCGCGTCTGCACTCTGGATTGACCTGCAAAGCCCCGAGGTGGGTCCTCGGGGTAAACACTCTAATGCTTAAGTCAGCAATAATCAAGGCTACCTTTAGAATGGAGATAAAAGGAGCTTAGAGTTGGTTTCAATTACCTTTTTGACGTGGCCCTTGGGGGGTATTTATAGGCTCTAGTGAGGAACCCACGTGGCATGCCAAGCAAGATAGTTGGAGCTTGACGTGTATCCAAACGGTTATTTCGGGATCGGGAATTTGAGAGATATTTAGATGCAAGGACGCCCATCATAGCTGCTGTGCAGCTCATTATAAAGAATCAAGTGCGAGCATGCTTATTGTTGCTATCATGCAGCTGTTTGAGCGGGAATCTTTGGATTTATCCTTCACTTCGGTCATAAAGGAATTACTGTCGTACGTTCGAGGTTGGGCACCTCGGACCTGCCCTTACACTATTCCCCCCCCTTGAAGTCATTCACTTGTGAATGATGGTGTTGGAGATGATGGGAGTATTGCATAAATAGAAAAGAAGAGAGATAAAGATATTAAAGATGAGTTACAGAAGTAAAAATAAAAATAAAAATTTATAACTCATATGTATGTATGGCCGTACTTAGTAGTGCAGTATGAGATAGGGGTCATGATGGTCATGCCCAAAATAAACGGTGACCGAAGTAATCAGTGCCGTAGCCTCGGAAAAAGTAGTGACCGGAGTCAATGTGGCCGTAGCCATAGTAAGGAATAGTGGCCGAAGTCGTAATAACAAAATGATGACTAGAGTCATAGTGGTTTGAGCTGTAATAAAAAGTAATGACCAGAGTCATAGTGGCCGGAGCCAAAGTAAAGCATGTGATACTGGGTCACTATGGCGGTAGCTAAAGTGAAACGTGTGACATTGGGTCATTGTGGTCGGAGCCGAAGTAAAACGTGTGACATTAGGTCACTGTGGCCGGAGCCGAAGTAAAACATGTGACGCTGGGTCATTATGGCTGTAGCCGAAGTAAAACGTGTAATGCTAGGCCACTGTGGCCGTAGCCGAAGTAAAACGTGACACGGGGTCACTATGCCCGTAGCCGAAGAGACAAGCATGACCGGAGCCATCAGGTCGGTTGCCGAAATAAAACACTTGCAAAATTTAAAATGTATAAAAGAGAGCAAGAGTGCTGAAATGGGATTAAGTGGGCCCGTCTGAAAAGCCTGACAAAGAGGCAGCACGTGACGTGACAACTGTCTTCTGAATGAGGTGCCTAATAAATGCCATTGTAAAAAGATAACTATAACAGTCCAACTAGGAGATTTAAAAAATGAACCGTTGAGTTCGAAACGGTGTCGTTTGGGGTTAACCGTCGAATTTGAAACGGTGTCTTTGCAGTTGTTAGATAGAATTAATCACAACCGTTGAGGCGTATTTTGCCTTTGGTATAAAAGGCTATACTTCTGTAAAAAAGGGTTTTTACTCTCGCTACTTTGCTGCCAAATTCTTGCTAAATTTCTACGGTTTCGTGCGATCTGCACTTCGATTGAGACTTCAACAACAGTTTCCCAAGATCAAAATCAGGTAAAGTTTATGAATTTTTGATTTTGATTTCACCGAAGTGTTATTCTCCTTTCTCCCTTTCTGTTTTTGATTTTTGGTTTTTTGAAGGAAGTTAGGGTTGGGAGTGAGAATGTATTGAATGTGTATTAGAATTTTTTAAGGGTCTTGACTTCGTTCCTCCTCCTATTTTATGCAGAAATTGAGGAGATGTCTTCGGAAGGGACCATGCGTGTAGTGGGAAGTGAGGTGATGCCCCTGGAGTTCAATGGCATGGATTCGAAGAGTAGTCCGTCTCCATCTAGTTCGAAGAGGACAGTGGAGGAAAGGAGAGAGCGGGAGGTAGTGGAGGAGGAGGAAGAAGAAATTCCCTCAAGTATTATGGAGGTTGGGGTAATGTGGGTAGGTGCTATGACCCAGAGTTAGACATAGTGTCCGAGGTGAGGGGGTATGTGAGTGAATTGGGTAGTAGGAGTAGCCTTAGGGGTCTGGTAAATAACTGTAACCTTTCTCCCCATGTTTTAATTAGGCCAGCCGAGGTGAATGAGAGAGCGTGCTCAGCACCCCAAGATCATTGGATGCTGATGTATGTCCATTACTTGGCTACAGGGCTTAGGTTTCCCCTTCCAGAATTACTGGTTGGGTTATTATTAGAGTATAGTATAGGAATAACCCAATTAACCCTAAATGCTATAAGAATCATAATAGGCTTTATAGCATACTGCCGAGCCCGGGATGTTGGGGTCCCTACTGTCAATATGTTTAAACATTTCTTTATAATAAAGGCTGGGGGTAGGGTTGAGAAGGGGTGGTACTACTTCGGCCCTCGGTTGTCCAGCAAAGAGAATAGGAAATTATTCACTGCTGGACCGTCATCCATCAAAGGATGGAAAGAGAAGTTCTTCTTTGTGGATGACACCGAGTGGAGTAGGAGGGATGCCGAAGTAGAACACTTGTCTGCTTGGAAGGCTAATAAAACCAAGTAGGACAATTATAAGTTGAATGAAGATGAAGTGGAGGAGGTTGAGAATCTGGTGAGGGAAGAAGGGGATTTAGTGGATATCATGTACCTCACTAGCGCGGAGGCGATAAAGGCTGCTGAGCTCTATGGGCCAAGCTCATTAAGTGAAGGTCTGTTTATTTGTGCTATTTACAACTTACTTGAATTTTTCAGTTATTATGTTTTAACACTTGTTGTTTTGCAATTGAGATGGATAGTTTTCTAAATGCTACTGGAGGGCTGGCTATCCCCAAGAAGCGAAGGAAGAAGTCAAAGACTTCAAATATGGCAGATAAGTGGGCAGCAGAGACAGAGCGCCTGTCCAGCACTTCTGCTCAAGCACTGGAGATGCAGCAGAGGCCAGAGCCTGCGAGGAGGTGGAGTGAGGAAGTGAGCGAGAAGGTGGCACCACTTCAAAGGAAGAAGAGGAAGGTGGCAGAACCAGAAGTTAGGAGGGATGAGGTGGTTGAGTTCGTGCCTCGGCCTTCTCCTCCTGAGATTGATCCTGAAGTCAGGGAGAGGGAGGAAGTCGAGGTGCGAGGCCCTGGCAAGGGCAAGGAACTCATCCATCCTCCTTTGTTCCAGAAGACTTTGTTCGAAGTAACGAACACCACTGGAGCGAAGCGGTTCCTCAACGCAACTCTTCCTGAGGTGGATAAGAGGCAGACGAGGGAAGAGGCGGTGAACCACCTAGGGGCTTGTGTTGTGAGGCACGCCCTGGAGGTATGTAAAGAAGTTGTAGTTTATTCATGTTTTAGTTTTGATTTTTTGACTTCTGCTTGCATTGCAAAGTGCAAGCTAGGTAAACGCTCTAGCGCAAGAGTATGCGGAGAGCGTGAGAGATCGTGCCAGCTTGTAGAGACAATGTGAGAAGCTACAAAAGGAGAAGGAGGAGCTACAGAAGGAGAAGAAAGAGATGCAGAGGAAATTGGATGAAGTTCTGCCATCAGTAACCGAACTCCAGAATGATAATGATACCTTGAGCACGAGACTCATCTTCGAAGAACGTAAGAGGAAGATCTGTGAAGACAAGCTCGAGGCTCAAGACAAGCTCGAGGCTCAAGACAAATACATTGAGAACATGAAGAAAGGAGTGGCAGAGCTGAAGAAGAACGTGAATCTGCTGGTTCACAATGGAATGGAGGAGCACATTGGCAACTTCCTCAACTCCAGCATCTTCAAGAACATCATCAACCTCTACTAGCTGTCGACCACAATTGTGGCCTTCATCGACTGTAGAAAGAAGGTGAAGGCTCAATACCCAGAGGTGGACATCACGACGGTCACCTTTGGTGAACAAGAAGAAGGAGTTGAGGAGGATGGTGAGAGCCTTTTTGCTGACTTCCGGCCTCTGATCAAGCTAAGGTGGGAGGGTGATGTAGAGGGGCGCACTTCCTCCAGCCTTTGATGCTGAGTTGGTGACCGTGGAGGAAGAGGGAGAAGGGCAAGATGCTGAAGTGGAGAACCAGACAGATCTGGCTGAAGTCCAACCTCCTGAAGTTCATCTAGTTTCTTCTGGCGAAGAGCAGCTAGCTCTTCCTAAAGTAGAAGCGCCACCTTTGCCTGCTGGGGATGAGCCGCCTCAACCACCTCTTCTTGCTGAGGAATAGCCTTCTCCTCCAGCAGAGTAGCTTAGGTTTTTATATCTTTCAATTATATTTGTAAATAACATTTTTGTAATTGATATTTTTTTAATTTATAAAATTTTTGAAGTTATTATTGGTGTTCAGTTTTGGTTTCTGATTGTTATTTCATTTTGAGTAAATCACTTCGGATAAAATAAAGTGACTTTAATTAACACAAGGATCTGACCTTGAACACAATAAAACGAACAGTAAGGGAATTGACTTTGGATATTCATGAGGCGAACCTCAACTATACCAATGAGAATAGATAAAAGTAAATCACTTCAGAAGTAAGTCCAAAAAATGAAATGACTAAATAAGTCACAATGAATTAACTTCAAAAGTAAGTGAAATCCACTTCCAACGTACAAAAGGGTAGAAAGAACTGAATCACTTCAAAATGTGAAGTGAAATTCATTAATGAGGTAAATGAATTGAGCTCGTATATACATTGAGCAAAAAGAGAAAATAATGACAATTATAAAAATAAGACAAAGTTTCACTGGGAAGAAGTGTATTAAGGGTAGAATTTCTTCAAATTATTGACATTCCAGACTCTAGGAACCCTTTTGCCTTCAGTGCCCCACAGGATATAAGCACCTGGGTGCGGCACTTCTGTTACAGTGTAGGGGCCTTCCTAGTTTGGTGCTAACTTTCCGAATCAAGTTTCGAACCCTATTAGACCAGCTTTCCTGAGAACAAGGCCTCCTACTTTGAATGTCTGGGGTCGAACTCGTTTGTTGTAGAAGTTGGCTATTTTCTGATTGTATACAAGAGTTCGAAGCCGTGTTTCTTCTCTAACTTCGTCAAGTAGATCAAGGTTCTCCCGAAGCAGTTGTCCATTTCGTCCTTCATCGAAATGGGTGACCCTGAAGCTTGGGACTCTTATCTCGATAGGAATGACTGCTTTGGTACCAAAGGCCAGATGGTAGGGTGTTTCACCTATTTCAGTTAATTAAAAGTTTAGAATGCGCTTTACGCGTTATGAACATTCGATCTAAGGTAAAGCCGTAGAAGAAGAAGTAAAATAATATGAAAGTTAATCAAGTAAACCAGGTTTGAAGTAATACTTGTGGCAGTTCGGCTCGTGGTTCTGTATGCCTAGAGGACGTTGTTGAGCTCATTTACCCACCTGGCCTTGTGCAGCTCTAACCTTGGTTTTATCCCTTCGAGTATAACCTTGTTAACAGATTCTACCATTCCATTAGATTCCGGGTGGTACACCGAGGTGAACTGCAATTTGATCCCATAACTAGAGTAGAAATCTCTAAAAGAAGAGCAGTTGAACTGAGTTCCATTATCAGCCACATTTTGATTCGGGATCCCATATCTACAAATGATTGAGCTAAAAACAAAATCTTCGACCTTCTTGAAGGTAAGACTGGATAATGGTCGAGCTTCAACCCATTTCGTAAAATAATCCACACCAAGAATCAGATGGGTTACACCTTCTACTCCCTTCATAAATGGACCTAAAAGGTCAAGTCCCCACTAAGCAAATGGCCAAGGTGCTATCAGAGTAGTAAGCTCTTCTGTTGGCTGGTGAATTAAATGTGCGAAGAACTGACATTTCTGACACTTTTGTACGAACTGAGTGACATCTTTATACATGTTGGGCCAGTAATATCCTTGCCCAAGGACTTTATGAGCCAAAGTTCGAGCACCAATGTGACTTCCGTAAACACCTTCATGCACCTCCCGAAGTGCGTACTCAGCTTCATAAGGGTTCAAGCAGTGGAGTAGAGGGAGTGAGAAAGATCTCTTGTAAAGGACTTCATTAACAAGGGTGTACCGAGATGCTTTCTTCCTCAACCTCATTTCTTCCTGTTTATCTGCAGGCACTGTGCCATCTCGTAGAAATGAGATAATTGGATCTGTCCAGCTCGGTGTGTCAGGATCTGTGTTGATTTTCATCATTTTTGGTTTTATGAAGCTAAGCTCGTCCAAAATTTCGACAATGACCAATCTGGAGGTTTGGTTGCCATCAGAAGCAAATTTGGAAAGGGAATCTGCTTACTCATTTTCAGCTTAGGGTATTTTGCTCAAATGGAATTTCTGGAATTTGGATTTCAGCTCGGCCACCAGAGTTACATACTTCATCATAACAGGGTCAACCACTTCATAGACTGAGTTGACCTGATTGACTACTAGTTGTGAATCACTGTATATTTGTATCGCTGCAACTTTCTGTTCTACTGCCAACTGTAAGCCAAGTAGCAGAGCCTCATACTCAGCCATATTGTTGGTGGCATCAAAATTAAATTTCAGAGCATGTTCACTTCTGTACCCATCTGGGCCAAGTAAGATTGCACTAGCGCCAGAACCTTTGTTACTTGATGCTCCATCAACATACAGAATCCAACTGTCCAACTCGAACTGGGAACTAGAGTGAGACGAGGTGCATTCTACTATGAAATCTGCAAGAGCCTGAGCCCGGATTGTTGACCTCTGCTGGAATGTTATCTCAAATTCTCCCAGTTCAACGGCCCATTTGATCATTTTGGCTTCTGCAAGATTTGTCTGAGGGGCTGAACCATGAGAACTATGATTGGGTGTGATTGGAAATATGGTCTCAGTTTCCTGGCCGAAGTGACAACAGCTAAGGCTACTTTCTCAGCAATAGAATATCTGATTTTAGCTCCATGTAACACGCTACTGGTGTAGTAAACTTGCTTGTGTTGCTTCCCCTCTTCTCTCACTAGCACAGAACTGATGGCTTCATCTGATATGCAGAGGTACAGGTAAAGGATTTCTCCATCATTGGCCTTTATCAAATTCTCCCAGTTCAACGGCCCATTTGATCATTCTGGCTTCTGCAAGATTTGTTTGAGGGGCTGATCCATGAGAACTATGATTGGGTGTGATTGGAAATATGGTCTCAGTTTCCTGGCCGAAGTGACAACTGCTAAGGCTGCTTTCTCAGCAATAGAATATCTGATTTTAGCTCCATGTAACACGCTACTAGTGTAGTAAACTTGCTTGTGTTGCTTCTCCTCTTCTCTCACTAGCACAGAACTGATGGCTTCATCTGATATGCAGAGGTACAGGTAAAGGATTTCTCCATCATTGGCCTTTATCAGCAAATGGGGTGATCTAAGATAAGACTTCGGCTCGTCAAAAGCAGCTTGGCATTCTGAATTCCATTCAAATTTCTTCTGTTTGCCAGATTCATCCTTCTAGGCTGCCAATCTCATGATTTTGAAAAACGGCAGGCATTTATCTGTTGATTTTGAGATGAATCTATGAAGAGCTGCCACTCTTCCTGTTAACCGCTGTACATCTTTTACTAACTTCGATGGTTCCATCTCGGCTACTGCTTTGATCTTCTCGGGGTTGACCTTAATCCCCCTTTTGGACACCATGAAGCTTAGAAATTTTCCCAACTCCACACCGAAGATGCACTTTGCTGGATTTAACCTCATTCTGTTCTTTTTGAGATTGTTGAATGTCTCCTCGAGGTCGGTTAAGTGATCTTCAGCTTTCAAACTCTTCACCACTATATCATCAACATAAATTTCCAGATTCCGACCTAGTTGAGCTCGGAATACGATGGTAACCATCTTCTGGTAAGTGGCACTTACGTTCTTCAAGCCGAAGGGCATCATTACATAGTAATAGATCTCATCTCCAGCATAGAACGAGGTTTTTTCTTCATCCTCAGGAGCCATTGGAACCAAGTGGTAGCCATAGTATGCATCCAAGAGACTTAATCTCTCATTTCCAGAAGCTGCCTCAACCAACTTGTCAATGTTTGGAATTGGGTAACAGTCTTTTGGACATGCTTGGTTGAGGTTAGTGTAATTGATGCACATTCGCCATTTGCCATTTGCTTTTTTCATCAACACAGGATTGGCGACCCATTCACAGTAATCGACCCGTCTAACGAAGCCAGCTTGTAACAGTTTTTCAACTTCTTCTTTGATGACCTTTAACCTCTCCCCCCCAAAGAGGCATTGCTTCTGGGCCACTGGTTTCTTGAGTGGATTGGTGCTGAGTTTGTGCTGAGAAATCGAAGTGGGAATTCACGGCATGTCTGCTGAGGTCTATGCGAAAACATCTTTGTTAGCGCGGAGAAAGGTTATCAGCTCTGCTCTCTCCTTGGGGTTCAGCCGAGTTCCTATTTGTGTTTTTCTGTTCGGGTCATCTTCATCAATCTGTATTTCCTCAATATCTTCACCCAGAGCAGCTCGGGTTTCATTTTCAGGTTGGTTATCAAGGATTTCAACCCCCATCACTTGTTGATTGTCATGAATTTTTGGGGAAGGGTTTTCTACTGGCTGATCTTTATTTTTATGCGGCCTTGTGACCAAAGTGAGATAATAGTGTCTGGCCACTCCCTGGTTTCCTCTTAGTGTTGAAATTCCCATGGGGGTTGAAAATTTCATGCAGAGATGAGATTGAGAAACCATAGCTTGGATCTCTGTTAATGTGGATCAGCCAATGACAACGTTGAAAGAGGAAGGCATCTTGACCACCAGAAACCAAACTGAAGAAGTCACATAGGTTCGGCCACTTCCAAATGCTCCCTAACATATAACTTCCATTGCTTGGAGCTCGTCCCTCCTGCTTCCAATCCTCTTATAATCATGTGTATAATTCTGGCTAGGGGTGGAGGAGGAGGTGGGGCTTATTGATGTCCCATTCCTTGCCTGTTTAGTGGATTGCAGGTACCTTGAGGCTGTTGTCCCTGTTCTCTGACAAATCTTAGCTATTCGGCTCTCTGGATGTACTCATTCAACATTCCTTTCTGTTCTAGGCTTTCCAGTTCGGACCTTAGACTGTTGCATTGCTCTGTTGTATGACCGTAATCTTGATGAAAATCACAATATCTAGTATGGTCTCGACTAGCAGCAGCAATTCTCATTGGACCAGGACGCCTTAAGTCCATCTTGTTCTTAATCTGCATGAAGATTTGTGACCTCGGCAAATTAAAAGGGGTCCAAGTAACTGCAGACTGTTGTGGAGTTGCTGAGTTCGGCCTTCCGAATCTTGGTGTGGAAGTCGACATCGGACCTCAGTTATGTGCTGTTCTGATCCGTTTCCTACTCGGATTCTCATCTCTTTAATCTGGGTTTTGGTTCTTAAAGGGAGTTGGGTTTTGCGACAAGGCATATTCCTCAACAGTTATAAATTTCAAAGACTTATCATTCACCTCGCTAAAGTTGGTGGCAGGGTGTTTGAGCAAACTGTCTTTGAATCTCTAATGGTTAAAACCTGAGATCACAACTGTAATTCCTACAACCTGGGTAAAGGAGTTAACTTCCAGTACTGCATCATTGAATCTACTCATATAATTCTTCAAAGATTCTTCGTCCCTCTGTTTAACTCGCATCAACTCAGAAGTAATTTTCCTTATCAACCTTCTACTGGAAAACTTTGTGGCAAAAGCAGATGCTATTTCTGTATAAGAGCTGATTGACCTCGGAGGTAGACTGTAATACCAAGTTCGAGCATTACCTCGGGGAGTAGAGGGAAAGATTTTGCACATCAATGCATTAGAGGCGTTCTAAGCTTGCATGCAAGAGTAGAAAGCATGCAGGTGATCATCGGGATCCTTCGTCCCATCAAAAGTCTCAAGCTGAGGTATTTTGAAGCCAACAGGATAGGGTTCCAGTGTGATGTTGGTATTTAGAGGGTGGGGTATAGAGTCAGCAGCATGGTGTGGAGGTGGGGTACTTCGCTATTTAGCTACTAACTTTTCTAAGCTGCCTAGACGTCGAGTGACATCATTAGGGAGGGGTTGCTGAGCTGGAGCGATGTGAGACTGGCCCTGAGATTCACTAAGAGCAAGAGCATGTTGAACTAGTTCAGGGTTTTGTTGTGGAGCTAGGGGTTGTGGAGCTGGGTTAAGTAGATTGATGAGGGGATCACTAGGGTTGTTCCAAGCTAAGAGCTGAGCCAACACTAGTTGAAAGACACCAAACTGTTGTTGCATGGCAGTAAGCTGAGCTGCAACTACATCTTGGTTGGCAGTGGAAGTAGAGTTGTGAGCTGAGTTGTGTGGTTGATTCTCATCTCCTTCTTTTGCATGATCAACAGGAGGGAACATATTTGGGATCTGAGGTGGAAGCTGAGGTGGAAGGCTGTTGGGGGGTTGACCTCGTCCAAGAGGCTGAGATGAGTTTCCAGCTCGGACTGATCGAGTGTTAACCATTACAAGAGAGCAACAAAAGAGCTTTCAGTTCGAATTCCCACAGACGGCACCAAATGTAACTGCACCAAACCAGATGTCCTTCTTCAGTCCGTGTCTGCACTCTAGATTGACTTGCAAAGCCCCAAGGTGGGTCCTCGGGGTAGACACTCTGATGCTTAAGTCAGCAATAATCAGGGCTACCTTTAGAACGGAGATAAAAGGAACTTAGGGTTGGTTTCAATTACCTTTTTGACGTGGCCCTTGGGGGGTATTTATAGGCTCTAGTGAGGAACCCACGTGGCATGCCAAGCAAGATAGTCGGAGCCTGACGTGTATCCAAACGATTATTTCGAGACCGGGAATTTAAGAGATATTCAGATGCAAGGACGCCCATCATAGCTGTTGTGCAGCTCATTATAAAGAATCAGGTGCGGGCATGCTTATTGTTGCTGTCACGCAGCTGTTTAAGCGGGAATCTTTGGATTTATCCTTCACTTTAGTCATAAAGGAATTACTGTTGTACGTCCAAGGTTGGGCACCTCAGACCTGCCTTTACACTTTTTTTCGTAAAAGTCCAAATCTAAATTCTAAAGCTCATCTAGTGTGTCTCATCCAAGACAATGAGTGAATAAAAAGGCATAAGTACTCAGAACTTGGATTTCTAGTTTCAATAAATTCTATACAATATTTTGAGCTGTTTTTTATATTTCTGCAACAGAAAGGGAAAACGTATTTCCACTCCAATTAAAAACCTCTACTACGTCAACTGTATATTTACATCCCTGGCATACCGAGTGTCATCAATGACTTGTAATGATTATTATTGTTTGAAGTATGGAAGTTAGTTTTGCATCATCCACACCAACTAGTAGGATGGGCATCAATTCGGTTCGGTTGGAACCAAACTTGAATTGATCGTTTTAATCAGTTAATTATTTTGTAAAATAGCAATCAAAAACCAAACTGAATAACATTTCAGTTATTCAATTTGGTCACCAAATTAATCAGTTTGGTTGACATCGGTCTCAATTTTAACCAATTCTAACCTTAAGCTTTAGCCACTTTTTTGCGTTTGGGCCTTTTGTTTTGTGACCCAAATATCTAACGTATGTTTTGTGATCCATTTTCTTTAATTTTATGATCCAACTTATTTGGACCAAATATCCAAAGCAGCAAAGCTAATAAGCCATCACATTTCACAAGTCCAAAAAAAGGCATCAAAAGTTGTTCAATTTCCTGCAACACATGGCTGATAGCTCATCAAAGAAGGTTCATCATGGACTCAACCCTAGGCTGTCAACACAACAAACTTAACACCAAATGATTGTAGCCTATGCAAAACTAAAGAAGCCCCATTTTAAAATCTAAGCAAGACTTTTCCATTTAAAGAACAAATTTCTAAGCAAGATTACAAAAAATCAAAAGACAATTCATCTATGGGGAAAAGGGGTGGCAGATTTGCTACATACAAAAATGAATAAAAAATTCTAAAGTTTCAACCATTAACCATAAACTTTCAAGCCATTTTTTGAACCATTCATGTCACGCCCCAGAACCCAAATCCAGGGAC